TGTGTACCTATCCAAATGTCTTTTAAACGTTGAAATTGTATCCGCATCCACTACTTCCTCAGGGCATTCATTCCACATGCAAACCACCCTCTGTAAAAAATAAAAAAAATGCCTCATGTCTTTTTTAAATCTCTCTCCTCTCATCTTAAAAATGTGTCCCCTGGTCTTGAAATTCCCCACTCTGGGGAAAAGACAAATATCATTAACTCTATCTATACCTCTTGTTATTTTAAAAACTTCTATCAGGTTGCCTCTCAAACTCCTACACTTCAGTGAAAAAAGTCCCAGCCTATCCAGCCTTTCCTTATGACTCAAACCTTCCGTAACCAGCAACATCCTGGTAAATCTCTTCTGAAACCTCCCCAGTTTGATAATATCCTCCCTATAACTGGGTGATCAGAACTGGACACAGTATTGCAGAAGAGGCCTCACCAATGTCCTGTACAAACTCACTTCCCAACTCCTATACCCAAAGGTCTGAGCAATGAAGGCAAGCGTGCCAAATGCCTTTTTAATCACCCTGTCTATGTGTGACACAAACTTCAAAGAATTATGTACCTGCACCCTTAGGTCCCTCCATTCTGCAACACTACTCAAGGCCCTACCATTAACTGTATGAGCCCTACCCTTGTTTGTTGTACCAAAATGCAATACCTCATATTTATCCAGATTGAATTCCATCTGCCATTTTTTCAGCCCATTGACCCATTTGATCAAGATCCCTTTGTAACCTGAGAAAACCTTCTTCGCTGTCTACTATGCCACCAATTTTGGCGTCATTTGCAAACTTACTAACCATGCTTTCTATATTCGCATCCATTTATATAAATGGCAAACAAACGAGAACCCAGAACCGATCCTGGTGGAACACTGCTGGTCACGGGCCTCCAGTCTGAAAAGCAACCCTCCACCACTAGACTCTGTCTCCTGCCGTTAAGTCAATTATGTATCCAATTGGCAAGCTCACCCTGAATCCCATGTGACCTAACTTTACTAACTAGTCTACCATGTGGAACCTTGTCAAAAGCTTTACTAAAATTTAAATAAACAACATCTACTACTCTGCCATCAACAAGCATTTTGTTAACTTCCTCAAAAAACTCAGCCAAGTTTGTGAGACATGATTTTCCTCACACAAAACCATGCCAGCTATCTCTAAGCTATTTTTGCCTCTCTAATGTCTACAAATCCTACCTTTTATAATCATCTCCAACAATTTACCCACAACTGATGTCAGACTATCAAATGAAATCATAATTCAAATCGATATTCACAGTTTCACTAAGATTGAGGCAATTATTCAGGGTTTAGTGCAAAAATTAATAGCAAGGTAATAATGCCAGACCAGCAGGAACTTGAATCATTTCAAAGATTCAGTGACGCTTGTAGCAATTTCTCTAGAGTAAATGATTGTGAAATACGAGCCACCGTGCAATAAAAAAAAACATGGAGGTAAATAACTTGCATTTGTATGTCACCATTTACATTCTTAGAATGTTCTACAGTGACTTAGGTGACAGTCACATGTGTAGCCATTTGTTATGTAGGCAAATACAACAATCTGCATACACCAAGATCCCACAAGCAACAATGAGGTTAACAACCAGACAATCCCATTTTGATAGCTTCAGCGGAGATAAATGTAGGCCTGAAATCAAGACATTTTTCTTTGCATTCAATCATACCACAGGACATTTCATATCCAGCTGAACAGGCAGAAAGATGCATTGTCCAATGCCTTGTTCAATAATGAAATACTGGGTAATCACAACAGGGGAAGGTAGCAAGGTGATTCAATGATATTAGATACCTAACAGGTGTTCATTTCCAATTTGGAAATATGAAACCTGGTCACTTTGGTTTTAGTGAAGTTTTGTACTTAGAGATTTTAACAGAATCAATAGAATGCAGAATGAACACAGAATTTTAAACATAACTAATGCAGTCCACAGAACAATGCAAACATGCACCTAGAGTTGTGAAATGCCTAGCCCACATCTCTCTGCTTTTTTTAAAAGGCACAACCAGACATAGCCCCCCTAATCTTTCACACCCCAGGTTGGTAACCTGTCAGCCTTTGCCCTAATTGCTCAAAATTGAAGATGGAGTGGGGGTGACCATTATTTGGCCATTTAAGGTACTCAATTGGGGCAGGAATAAAGGCAGGTGGGCAGCTCTGTGCCTCACCTGCACCCTGTAAAGTTGTAGACAAGACAGGATTGAGCATTCGGAAGGATACTAAGGTAACTTTACCAGCTCCACCCCTAGTGAGCTCAAAAACCTCCCCAATTGGGACCCATTAAGTTCTGTCCCAAGTCTCCATTTCTCACTCCTCCAACAGAGCCATGATTGTTGATTTCGATAAGGAAGGAAAATAACAACATACTTTACTAGTGAATTTGAACAACAATTTCAAGCTCCATCTCTCAAATTCGTGCAGCAGTTCAATTGCATCGGGGAGACCGCAGGATCATATTTACATTCTCATCCTAACGGCAAGTGTCATTTGCAAATGCACTTTTGATGATGTTTTAAACAAATTTATTGCAATGACTTTTACTGAGGAACTGTCTAGTTTTTTTTGCACTTATTACTGGCATACACTTCAGATTTTGTACCTTAGTTCAAATTGCACAATTAGTTTCTGCACTAAAATAGCAGTTGGATCTGAAGTTCCAGGAAATATGCATTTATTCATAAAAAGACAGATTTGTCACTTGGCTCAAATCAGAACAGCACTACTTAAAAATCAATTTTAAGGCAGAATGAGACAAATCTAAGTAAATACTGCCATCTTCAGTTGAAAACAGGTAACAGTAGAACACAAAGAAAAGCAGTGACATAAAAAAAAAGGCTGGAAATGATAGAAAATATGAAAAAAAAAGTTGTTTCCCTTCAGCACTGCGAGCAGACTAGCTGTGATAATGCTGACATTGTGTGTCAGGTAGAACTATGAAGGAACTGCTGAGGGAGTATGAGAAGCTAGGCACCAAATTAGAAGGCAAAAGGTAACAATTTCTGCATTACTACCTGAGTAACAACCAAATTGACATAGGGCAAATAATATTAGAGAAATTAATGCATAACTGAAAGACAGGTGGGAAAAGTGGGTTCTGGTTCATGGAACACAGGTACATTAGCTGTGAAAATGGGATCTTTACTTTTGGGATCATCTGCATCTGACCTTCACTGGGTCTGGTGTTCTATTGAGCACTGTAGTTGGTAAAGCACAGATAGTTTAAACTAAAGCTTTGTGGTGTGGTATAGGAGGATGAATCAAGCTAGGGTTTAAGTAGTAACAAGGAGTAGAGTCAAGACAGATGAGCATATTAGTAATGCGAATTAAAAAAGGTCAGTGAATGACAAGAAGGAACAGAGAGAAATAAACCCAAGAGCACACCAACAGTCAAGACTGAATATTACAAAAGGGGACAAAAAGACAAAGCTAAAGGCTCTGTACTGAAGGACTGTAACATTCGTAACATGTTTTGAGAGAGCTAAAAAGACAAGGGATTACACTATAAATTTAAAAAAGAAAATTAATTTACTGGATGTGGATTGTGCTAGCTATGCCAACATTTATTGTTGATCCCGAATTGCCGAGAGGGCAGTTAAGAATCAACTACATTGTTGTGGGTTTGGAATCACACATAGGCCAGACCAGGTGAGGACAGCAGTTTCCTTCTCTAAAGGACAGGAGTGAACCAGATGGGTTTTCTGACAATCAACAGTAGTTCATGGTCATTATTAGACTCTTGATTCCAGATTTTTATCAAATTCAAATTCCATCATCTACGATGGTGGGATTAGAACCCAATTCCCACAATATTAGCTGGGTTTCTGAATTAATAGTCAATTGTTAAGGCCATTACCATCCCTTAAATGGTAGGAGCTTGGAAAATACTGACGATCAGATGGACCTTGGTGTGCATATCCACAGGCCCCTGAAGGTAGCAGGGCAGGTACATAGAGGTTAAGAAGGCAGTTGGGATTCTTGCCTTTATCAGCCAAAGCATGGAAAACAGGAACAAAGCAGTTATGCTGAAACTGCACAAAGTGCTCGTTAGACCACATGTGGAGTACTTTGTGGTTACCACATCAAAGCAAAGATGTCACTGCGCTAGAGGGGCTGTAGACGAGATTTACCAGGATGCTGCCTGGCCTGGAGGGTCTAAGCAATGAGAAAAGTTTGGATAGGCTGGAGTTGTTTTCCTTAGCTCAGTGAAGGTTGAGTGGGGACCTCAGAAGTATACAAGATTATGATGGGCATAGATAGGGTGGATGGGAAGGTTGTTTTCTTCCCCCATTTGTTGAAGGAACAACAATTGGGGCCATGGTTTTAAGGGGAAAAAAAAGTTAGAAAATTAAGGGAAAGGTTGAGAAGAAATGTTTTCAGTCAGAGTGTGGTAGAAGTCTAGGACTCACTACCTGGAAGGGTTGTCGAGTCAGAAGCTCGAGTAACGTTAAACGGAATTTAGATATTCACTTGTATTGCCATTGTTTCTGGGGCTCTAGCCCAAAAGCTAGAAAATAGGATTGGCATAGTCAGGTCTTTGTGGACCAGCACAAACACTACAAGCCAAATGACTTCCATCTGTGCTGTAAACATTCAAGTGTTATGAGAAGTCTGGCCTACTAGTTGAGAGCTCTTGCTTTGATCAGGGATTGCACACAAAAATCAAAAATGAATTCCTCCAGAGGTTGGATTTACTCAAGAATGCAATATGCTGATCAGTTCAATTTGTAATAAAGGTGAAAAGTATTGAGGAAGTGAAGAAAATGAAATACACAAGATATTGATTACCTGAGCACCAACGTATCACTCTGCATATTCAGGTAACCCTCACTGGCAAGAAGGTCCAATCGGAAGAAACGATTGTAACCCCAGCATTCTCCAACCTCAAAATCAGAAGCAAACTCTCGAATAATGTTTTTCGTTGGATCATTAGAGGCTTGATGAACCATCTCTACGCGGTACTCATACCTAGAAAGAGAGCAAACAGACAACAAAGAGCACTTAAGTTTGCATGTAACACAAACATTTTGCAATTTAATGGAAATAATTCTAAAATGAAGATTGAGGATTTAACGAACTCAAATTTTAACTGATCCCTAGCTAACTGTCAAAATTAAAACCCGAATTAGTATTTTGTCTTACTTTAAATATTTACAAGCCTTTTCAAAAACAGAAAAAAAAAAATTCAGAATTTTAACTGCTTCAACTACACTCCATTGTTAGGTTATTTCCTATATAAACTTTGGGATGAGAGTCAATCATAATGCAAAGAATTTTTTTAAAAAGCTGTTTATAATCAAATAGCCAAATCGGAGAGAAAACCACTTGAAATTTAGTGAAAATTTGTATTTTTCTTCTTACAATTATTTTATTCTCATGCTTCATGACTGCAAAAAAAACCACCTGCAAGACCTTCCTGAAAAACTTCCAGGTAATAGGACTTGACTCAAGTTCCCAGACATTTTCTAATCAAAAAAAATTGAACCAATCTAGATAAATCTTCCTCAACCAATTTCGCCCCATCAAGCTTGGGCCCAAGCCTTTTACTACAATCTGTGATAACTGAACCAGCTGCTTCTCATAAGAGACTGGAACCAAATTTGTACCCTTAATCCGTAAAAAGGTTCTCCAGTATATGTTCTCATTTTAGCTGAAGTCTTCTGCAAACTTAAGGATTGGTGTGCTGAGTGAATTTTCTGCCATCCGGTTCTGCGATCACTGAAACAGCTGCAGTAATCAACCTCCATCAGAGCCTGGTGACCATTTAACCAGACGTTTATTTTGACTGGTTTGGATTTGGACGTTGCTGAGCTATTTAATTGTTCCGTACCACATAGATATTGGTGGACTTTCCAGGGCGTGTGCTCTCCTGGATAATGGCCAATGTGTTTTCTTAGGTCTAGTTGGACTCTTTTCCGGTGTCCAATCCGCATACTGGCAGTAACTACAATGGCTTGCTAGCGTGGATCCTTAAGAAAATTTTATCCATTTGGCCAAAGCTTGGCTTTGTTTTGGGGTTCTGCTTTGGATTGATCTAGAGTCCCTCTGTTCAGGATATGTCCTGACAGAAGCTTTGTAATTGCCTTCACTCAAGTGCCATTCCCCAAGTTCAGTCGGCTAGCGAGGGTGCCACTTCCGTCAGAATACCCTCCAACTCTCACACTCCACTTGCTGCATTTCCAGTTCGGCTTCAACTAGTAGGCACTTTTGCATGGTTACATCATCAATCACACATACCAAATGACTATGGTAGGATGGATATCAAACAATGATGAGTCAGAATATAGAAAGAAGATAGAAGGCTTGATATTATGATGCAATGATAATGTCGGCAAAACAAAAGAACTGATCATTGACTTCAGAAAGAAAGGAGAACACACTCCCACCTACATCAATGGTGTGGAAGTCGACAGGGTTGAGAGCATCAAGTTCTTAGGAGTGAAGATAACCAACAACCTGTCCTGGATTTCCCACATGGATGCAACAGTCAAGAAGGCACAACAACTCCTCTTCTTCCTCAGGCAGCTTAGGAAATTTGGCATGTCGATAAGGCCCTCACCAACTTTTACACAGAAAGCATGCTATCCTGGTGCATAGTGGCCTGGTACAGCAACTGCTCTGCCCAGGACCATAAGAAACTACAGAAGGTTATGTGCATAGCCCAGACCATCATCGAAGCCAACTTCCATCCATGGACTCCATTTACACTGTGCGCTGCCGCAGAAAGGCTGCCAACATCAAAGACCCCTCCCCACCCCGGTAATGCTCTCCTGCAACCTCTTCCGTCAGGCAGAAGATACAGAAGCTTGAAAACACACACCAACAGGTTTAAGAACAGCTTCTTCCCTGTCATTATTAGACTGATGAATGGACTCTCTAACTTCAAATAAAGTTGATCTTGTTAATGTTGATCTTGCTTCGCGCACCTCCTGTGCAGCGTAACCCGGATGCATCACTCCATCTAAAGCACCCTATGATCTGTATGTCCTTGCTTACTATGATCTCCCTGTACTGCTTGCAAACTAAGCTTTTCACTGTACTTAGGTAAACATGGCTACAATAAATCAAATCAAATCTATCAGCATCTTATGGAGGGTTAAACCAAAGTCATATCCGTCTGCCAGCCATCTTAACCTCATCAAAAATCCTAATACGGATTCCTCTGATTCTCCAACAGCCGAATAAAACCGATAGAGTCTCAGAATTAGAGGCAACTTGGGTCATAATATTCCTTAACTAAATCTGTCAACTCTTGAAAGGTTTTAGTATCTGGTGCTTCAGGGAAAGTAAGGCTTCTAATAACTGAAAAAGTTGCAGGTCCACAAGCTAATAGGAGAATTTCGTGCTGCTTTTTATCTGCCTCGATGTCATTTGCTTGGAAAAAATGACACTTTCTTCTCACATGCTGGGCCCAGTCTTCAACCACAAGATCAAACGAGTCAAGCTTCCCAAATAATGGCATGATGCCAGAAATGCTTACTCCATCCCAAAGACAACGTTGCGAGCAGATTTCTTCATGAGCGTGCTTTTCTCTCTTTGCCACTGAATTAACTCCGCAGAGGTGGTATCTGGCCGCCAAGACACCCTTGATTCACACATGGAGAGTCCCTGACACTGATCCAGTTTCCTCAGTGCAAGCTCTCTGACTGGATAGAATGTCTGATATTCTGCTCTTATCTGTCAGCCAGGACTCCCTGATTTGGCCAGATTAACATTCCCAATTAGGAAACTCATATTCTATGAGGCCCACCTGGCTGACCTCGTTACAATCATTACAGGAGTGTATTCCAGAATTTAGGACGCAGGGGAGTGAAGAAACAACTAAATGTGAAGCAACTGACATCGGGGATGCTCAAGAGGCCACATTTAGTCCAGCAAGGATATTTAGAGGGTTGTACAGCTACTGAGGATTACAGGAGATGATGGTGGTGGCGGCAGCTGGGGTGGAGACCTTTGGGATTTCAAAAAGTACAAGTTAAAATTAAAGCATTGTTGAACCAGATCACAATGGAACCGAACAACTATATGGGTGATCGGCAAAGTTAGGACAGGAGTATCAGCGTTTGATATTACCTCAGAATTATAGAAGGTAGAATTGAGAAACACAGATGAGCTGTAGCATAGGAGGCTATTTGGCCAATTGTGTTTGCACTGGCTCTTCAAATATGCATCATAATTCAGTGCCATTCTCCTGATTTTCCCCGCATACCCGTGCACATTGTTTTTGTTTAAATAATTATCTTCCGCCCTCCTGAATGCATAAATTTAACCTGCCTCCACCACATCATCAGGCAGTACATTTTGTACCCGAACCATTTATGAAAAAGGTTTTTAACTCACAGCAATATTTACTTCTTTTTCAAAATCACTTTTATATTTCTGCCTTCACAGTTATGATTCTTATGAGTAGGAATAGCTTCTACCCATCTACTCCATCAACTCCTTTGTGATTTTCAAAACTGCTATCAAATCTCGTCTTAGTCTTCTCCTCCCCAAGGAAAATAGTCCCAGCTTCTTCAATCAATCCTCAAGTCTGAAGTTTCTCACACGGAAACATTCTTGTAAAAAACTGTTCTGCACTCTATCCAACGTGTTCACAACCTTCCTATAATGTGGCAGCCACAACTGTATGCAACATGCCAAGTTGAGGTCTAACAAAGTTTCGACACAAGTTCAGGATCATCTCCTTGCTTGTGTTCTCTGCGTTCTTATTAATAAAGCCCAGAATACCATATGCTCTCGCTACCGGTCCTGCAATCTTCAAATAATCTGTGCACATTTACACCCAAACCACTCTGCTTCATTCATTTAAGAACTGTAGCTTCTATTTTACATTGTCTGACTATGGTCTTCCTAGCAAAGTGCATCGCCTCACATATCTCTGCGTTGAGCATCATCTGACACCTATTTGCCCTTTGAAGTTCTACACTGTTCTCTTCACAGTTTACAATGTTCCAAGTTTCAGATCATCCACAAATACCAATATTTTCCTGTACACCATAATCTGAAATAATTAAAATATAATCAGAATAAGCAAACGCCCCAATACCAATCCCTGGAGAAGTCCACAATAAACCATCCTCTAGCCGAAAAAATGTCTATTGACTATTATTACTCGGTTTCTGATCACTCAGTCAATTTTTTTTACCTTGTCAACTTTAAGAACCAGCAGTCCATCCAATACCATCTCCTTATTCATTTTGAACCCTACTAGTAACAGTTTCCTCCTGTTCCCATGGCCTAAGAAGCACTGACCTCAATGGTGAAGACAGATGCAAAGTATCCATTTAATAATTCAGCCATACTCCCTGCCTCCATGACTAAATAAATCTCTGCATGCTATTCATGGCATTGACTCATTGACTTCCAGTTCCCGAAGTTGTGAGGCACACAGGCCATGGAGGGGAATGCTAATCTCAGGTTCACCATCTTAAGGTAAAAATGTTAACATTTTAAATTCCATGTGTCAGATTATAGATTTCTATATGGCTTATCTGATGGCTATCAAAACAAAACTGAACCAAACTCAATCTTATTAGTGTAAGGACTGCCGGAGCATTATGGTATGCTAGTCTCGGTAATGGTGACCAAAAAATTATGATTAATTATTGTAAAACTCCATCTAAATGTTATAACTATCTTTTCAGGAATGAAATCTGTCAGTCTTACCTGGTCTGGCCTACATGTGAAATTGTCTAGCAAACTATTCAATTCAAGGGAAGTTAGGGATCGACGACAAATACTGGCTTTATCACATCCTATGGAAGAATACTAACAGTCCTATATTCAGTTTAGATTATGGTACAGTTTCACTTCCTATCACTTCATATATAGAGAGAGAGATACAAGTATGCAAAGGCACACATCAGTGGGTAAAAGAACTGTGAGGTTTCTAATGCATTTGAGGACAAATCTCCAGCTAAGTGACATGTAAAGTCAGGTCTTCTTTTAAATTTGATTCTTTGGAAGATAGCATGAAAACCAGAAAATTTAAAGCTGTAATCATAACCTACAAATAGAGAGTGAAAAGCAAGTCCTGAAAGAGTTGATAAACTAGACCTAGATTCAGCCGGCATGAACAAAACTGGACACATGTTGGGAATAAAAAGAATCAGAAATGACTTTTAATCTCAAGATTCCGAAAAGGAACAGTTCAGGTGATTTTATTTAACGGAACGGCTGATCCCAGACAACTTGGGTTACAGCACAAAATAAAATCAAAACACAAACTTACAGCAAGTTGGTCAGTATCCAAGATCTACTTTACTTTCAAGATTTTCAGCATTTAGTCTTTTCTATTTATCTCAGATGGCAGTCTTCCTTGACAGCCTTTAGGGAGTTAGTAGAGGGTAACATTCAATTTATAGCTAACAGTATCTCAAAACATGCCAAGGGCATTCTAAGCTTGATAATGTGACCCCACCACCTCTCTTATGAGAGCAAAGTTCACTTCTGACTCTTGTAACCACCTTCCTTGCAGAGACAGGTCAAATTTCAAATAAATCACACATGGGCAGAGTCTTCCACCTTGCTACAAATTTTAGAATGAGAAAGGTTCAGATCAGTAGGCAACTTTCTGAAAACTGCTTATAAATGCAATGGTAATGCTCCAGTTACTTGGTCAGCATAATGTGGTAATCAAACAGATCGGAATATCATATTTTTGATTAGCACCACGATTAATTTACAGCGCAGGATGCCACCATGTGGGCACTATCATGTTCATCATGTCTCTCTGCTTAAGCAGCACAAAACAAATCCTACTCTGCTGCTTCATCCACATATAAACAGCATATGTTTTAAATTTTTATCCAATTCCTATCACAAAATGTTCCAAAAACCCTCTGGGAAAGGTACATTCGCTGAGGTTTACTGCAAGAACAGAAATGAGAAAAACATAGGCAGGATTAAGCCCACAATCACAAACCAATGATCCCTTTGCTAGTACGTGTGCTTGGAGATGTCAGGTTTAGATAGCTGAATGTCCAAGTGTTGGCTGACTCTGCTGAGTAGGCTCACAGATGAAGGAGTCACTTTGGAAAGAAGAGAGGCCGCAATCACCTGTAGAACTGAACCCTAGCAGCAGTCACCACTTCCAGCAAAGTGGGTGGATTGGATGTGGTGGCGGAGAAAGAGACGAGAAAGAGAAGAGGAAAGAATAAAAGGAAGAGAATAACTGTACAAATTCCAAGTAAACCCAACAATTTGCTTTAAAATGCTACAGTTGAAGATGAGAGAGAAAATAAATAAAGAATGAGGTGGTTGACTTGCTCGCCGAGCTGGCTTGTTTTGTTCAGACGTTTCGTCACCATACTAGGTGACATCATCAGTGAAGCCTCCGATGAAGCGGTGTTATTCTGCTCCACTTGGAATTTATACTGTCCAGTCTGTTATGGTGAGTACTGTCATTCCCAGTTTTGATCTGTATGGGTTTGTATATGGGCTCCAATCCTATATGTTTGTTGATTGAAGTATGGGTGGAGAACCATGCCTCTAGGAATTCCCACGCACATCTGTTTAGCTTGGGCTACTATGGTTACTTTGTCCCAGTTAAACTGATGGCCTTCATTGTCTGAATGTACAGATATTAAGGAGAGTTCATCGTGCTGTTTTGCTGCTAGCTGACGTTTGTGTATTCTGATGGCTAGTTTCCTTCCTGTCTGTCCGATGTAATGTTTGTGGCAGTCGTTGCATGGTATTTTGTAAACCACGTTCGTTCTGCATGTAGTGGGAATGGGGTCTTTAATTCTTGTAAATGTTTGTCGTAGAGTGGCTGTGGGCTTATGGGCCACCATGATTCCTAGTGGTCTTAGGAGTCTTCTTGTCAGTTCCGATAAGTTCTTGATGTAGGGCAGTGAGGCTCGTGTGTTAGGTCGTACTGTGTCCTCCTGTTGTTCGTTTTTAATGGTCAAATTACATCGGACAGACAGGAAGGAAACTAGCCATCAGAATACATTAGCATCATCTAGCAGCAAAAGAAATGGCACGACGAACTCTCCTTAATATCGATATATTCAGACAATGAAGGCCATCAATTTAACTGGACAAAGTAACCATAGTAGCCCAAGCCAAACATAGACACGCAGGGTTATTCCCAGAGGCATGGTTCTCCACCCATACTTCAATCAACAAACATACAGAATTAGACCCCATATACAAACCCATACAGATCAAAACTGGAAATGACAGTACTCACCCTAACAGACCAGACAGTATAAATTCAAAGTGGAGTAGAATAACATCGCTTCATCGGAGGCTCCACTGATGATGTCACCTAGCATCGTGACGAAACATCTGAACAAAAACTAGCCAGCTCGGTGAGCAAGTCAACAACCTCACCTACAAACCGAGCTACAGATCGTTGCCAAAACTTTAAATAAATAAATAACTCATTTAAAAAAAAAACAGAAGTAATGCTGGAATTGAACGGTATGAAAAATAGAGGGAAATCAATTTCATACACAAAAAATAATTGTTGATTCTGCATACTTTGATGTTTCAGGGAGTCCTGCAGAGAGTTCCAGAAACACTGACAGGTAATTTCCTCGCACAACTCCATTTCCATCCTAGGATAGAATACAAAACTTAATGTTTGCAGATTCTAATGTATGTATTCAGGTATTATTATCTCTTTCATCCTCACTTTCGATACAAACTCAAGAAAGACACACTCTGATTAAAATCAATCTATTGTAAACTGCACTAATATTTTAAAATAAATAGACAAAATCATTTCAAGTCCACCCAAATATTAGGGCTGACTTCCATTTTGTTACAACACAAGCATTTCACAGAAACAAATAAATTTATATTCAATGCAACTTTTAATAAATGAAGTTGGAGAAGCCCTTCCTTATGCCAAATTTAACTACCTTGTTGCTTATTTATACATCTCTATAGGTTTGTTTACTAAACAATAATTTTAAGAACTATTATTCATTCAGTAGCTCCGCTCTGTAACAGTGAGTCAGCCATATGGTCTACATCCATGATACAATCCCTTAGCTGGTATAGAATAAGGTGATTCTAAGAGGTCTCAATGCCTCCAGCCAGGAAGGGGAAAATTCTAAGACTACTAATCCCACTGGTTGAGCATGTATTGTTTTGTATCTGCCAGAGAGGGATAACAGACGTGAGAGTGAAAGATTTATAAAATCTGCAGGTATGCACATGAAGAATGACAGACATTCTCAGTTAGGGGATACAGAGGACTCCAATAGCTATACTCTGTTTCACCTTCTAGTTTTGGCTACAAGTACCACTTCAGTATCTACCTGAAAATTTGTCACTAATCTGTGGATTTTCCCTACCCTGTTTGTTTTCAGTCCAATTGAATTTTCAAATCATTTTGGCTTCAACACAACCACTGTTCTTTCCCTTCCCCTAACATTCAATTCAAAGTACATTTCTTTGTGATACATGAGAGTTCTCTACTATCATTACTGTAAATTTGTACCTTAAAATTCCTAAAGCTTTGGCTCAAAGTTCACTGTAACAAAATCTCCTGGTCCTTCTCCTGCCATCCCTGAAATAGCCACAAACCCCAGCCTTCCAACTCACCGGGTAAACCTTCAGTCTCCAGCAAAGCCCAGACACTTGCAGAGGCGGACTGTACACTGGGTCTGCACGCTGACGCAAAGTGCTATTGAAATAGATTAAAAAAACGTCTACAATGTAATCATTTTGCAACCAGGCTGTAAAACACACAAAGTTCAGAAAACTTCAAAATTTCTTCCAAAAGGCTAAATAAAGTTCAAACCAAGCTTAAACGGAATGAACAACCCACCTTAAAATTATAAAAGTTGTAACACTGATTCATGATTAAAATCATTTTAAATACAGCTAGTCCTCACTTAACACCTTAATAATCTATGATGTCTTTTTATTTCATAAACTAAAACATGTTCAACAAAAATCACTCGCATAAGAAACTACACAATAAGGCTGGGTTATATTCTTGAATAATGTAAGAATTACATTAGCTGCCTTGAATCGAACCGCTCCTCCAATCCACACTCTGTTCAACTTTCTATACTCATTCCTGCTTGCCATCCCTCACACTCCCACCTTCTTACCTCTTTCCTGAGCCCTCACGCACAGCGAGGTTACAGGAGAGGGGCAGAAAATGAGGTGGCAAACAGGAAACAGTGAGCAAGTAATGAGGGAGCAAGGAAAGGGAAAGACAAAAGTGGTAGGAATTATTTCAAAGCAAAACAGACTCAGCAAGTGCAGTTACAAAATATTCTGGGTGGATGTGTACTAATTACACTAACACAAAAAAAAAGAGGCAACACTTTTGGACCACGTTCCCTAACTTATACACGACACCCAAATGAAAGCGTGCAATTTGAAGAGGCTTTAAACAGGAATATTTGTGCTCCATATTAAGTGGGGAACACAACAGTATACCTTAAAGAATTTTTATAGCTACAGTTTGTACAATTTCTAATTCTAAACATTTAAGAACAATGATAATATCACTTCAAGATATTAACAGGGAAGAAAGGGTAAAGACAAAGACAAACTATTTCCATTGGATGAGAATTCTACAAGTAGTGGGTATACCCTAAAAATTATAGCCAAACCATACAGGGGAGATGTTAGGACGCACTTCCACACACTAAGCGTGGGAAATGTTTGGAACACTGTTCCCCACAAACACCCATGGATGCTCAATTAGTTGTAATATTAAATCTGAGATAGATGAGTTTTTTGTTAAGCAAAATTAATGTTAAGCAAGATATTAAATGGATATGGGCTAAAGGCAGATATATGGAGATAGGCCATAGATCAGCATGGTCTCATTGAATGGTGAAGCAGGATGGTTAATATCCTTCTGCTGATGCTCTTTCTTTAATTTTTCTACCTCTAATTTGTCTTCCTTAAGCACAGGCAGCAAGGCAGCAAAGGGAAAATGGGTACATGCAGTTTTCCTCTCTGCCCAGAAAGGTGCAACTTCCTGCCAGTTGAGGTACTGGCCAGCTGTCAGATCTAGAAACTGCAATATGCAGTATCCTGCAATGTAATATCCAGCTGCTTTAAAAGGAGACGTTGTGCGACTGGATCATTCTTAGCTGCGTTTTTCTGTCCTATTTGGTGCTTAATTCAATAAATAGTTTAGGAGGGCTTTCAGTTTTAAACATAATATATTAATTCTTAGCAGCATTTAGCATCAGAGACCAAGCCAATTCAATCATTAATGCTCACGTATCATGCGGCAAGAGAGATAGGATGCAGGTGCCACAATTACAGGCAAAGTGCACTATGAACAAAAGCTTAAAATGACACCCAATGTGACTGTTAATTTACAAAATGGAAATAAATATACCAATGAGAAGTCTGGTTTCAAAGGAGCTTAAAACACTGACGACCGTCTTATGATAAAATTATTTTTCATAAATTTAACCAGGGCTTATTTCCATAAAATTTGGACCAGCAGCATGACATCTGGTGTCAACTCTGAAAACAACATTCCTCAGCACCACCCAGTGTCTCATCTCATAACTGCAGACACCATTGACGTTTATTGGAGATTGAAAAGAAATTGTTTATTATAAAGATCTATGCTGGAGAGGAAAAATTGCCAATTAAAATGCATCAAAATATACTTCATCAGTAAGTTTAAATATAGTTCAACTACACATGAACAAGTACGAAACTACAGACCTGTCAGCTTGACATCAATAATGAGAAAACTGACGGAGGTCATAATACTGGATACGATAATTATGCACTTAGAAAAATAAGTTAATACTAGACAGACAACATTGCTTTGTCAAGGGGAGTCATGTCTGACAAATTTAACTATGTTCTATGACATAGTGACTCAGACAGTGGATGAGGGTAGTGTTGTGTATATTGTATGTTTGGATTTTCAGAAAACATTTCATATGGTGCCACATGGCAGGTTGGTTAGCAAATTAGAGAAGTTTACGATTGATGGGTCATTGGCAACATGGATTAGAAGTTGGCTAAAAGATAAGAAACAGAGGGGTACATATAGATGGGCATTTCTCAGATTAGAGATGAATTGAAAGTAGTGCTCCCCAGGAATCAGTGTTGGGACCCTTTGCTGATTTATATAAAGAATTTGGAAATGGATGTTGAGAGAAAAATCTCTAACTTTGCAAATGCTACAAAGTCAGGGACAGTGAATTGTGAGGATGATGCTGAGTGACTTCATTGATGAGTGGCCAAATGGACAGACATCTGGCAGATGAATTTCAATGCGGAGAAATGTGAGGTAATATATTTTGGTAGAAGAAACACACAGAGATTCAATACGGGCTCAACGGTACAACTTTGAGGGCAATACAGGATCACAGGGAACTTGGGTTTAGGTGCACAATTCTCTGAAGGTGATTAGGCAAGTTTGAAACAGTTGTTAAGGAAGCTTATAGGATTCTTGAGTTTATAAATAGAGGCAGAGAGTAGAAAAGCAAGGAAACGATGCTACACATTTACAAATCATTAGTCAGACCACATTTGGAGTATTGTCTTCAGTTCTGGGCACCTTATTTAAGGAAGGATGTCAAAGCCCTGGTGACAGTCCAAAGGGGATTCACTAGAATGATCCCAGGAGTAAGGGATTTTAGATACAAGGAAAGATTAGAGAAATTGGGCTTAGTGTCCTTGGAGCAGAGAAGATTCACAGGTGACCTTATTGAGGTGTTCAAAATTATGAACAATTTTCACAGGGTAAAGAAGGATATTCTGTTTAGACTAGTTGGTATGTCAGTAATTAGGGGTCACAATTTCAACATTGTCAGCAAGAGACTAGGAGTGAGATGAGGAGAAACATCTTTACTCAGAGTTGTTGGGGCTGGAGAAGGGGACTAGGTGGCTAGCTCTTTCGGGAGCCAAGTTCAGACACAATGGGTCAAAATGCCGCCTTCAGTACTGCAGAATTCCATGATTCTAATAATCAGCTACATAAGTTCAGAGGAAAAGATGGTACCATCTCAGTGATCTCAAGTTAAATAGAAAATCTACTGGAGGTTTATTATTTTTATAAACTTTCCTTACTCAAACATCATCTAGAATTAGCCAGAATTTGTATATATTCTTCAGCCATACACCTAAAAATTTAGATTTTTATGACAGTCAAAGCTCAATTTCACATTTCAATTTATGCTTTGTCTATAAAATGAGCAAGTATAGAAACATATATATGTATAAAATGACATTAGCTCCAGGAAAAAAAGGGACAAACTGTTTCAATTCAGTTTAATTACTAAACCAAATCTGATTTTGAGAGTCATCAGGTACATGGCCCAGAACAGTATTTCCCATTATCTCTCCCACTGCTAGATGGCAGATCTAAATAAAAATTATTTTAATAAATCAACTCCAGTTCCATTTAAAGTCCTACCCAATTCACAACCACCAAAACAATTAAAACTAGAACATTATTTTGGTAAGTACAACAAACAATAATGCTCCAGATTTTGCAGTAAAACTATGGGAGACAACTGCTGATTATCATCGAGTGTAGATCAGACAGCAACTTCCAGTGCTCATGGAGAATGATTCTGAAATCAGAATGTTGCTGTCTGGAGTTCCTGCGCTTGTTCACAAACTTTGCTTTAATGGCATCGCTCAGAAAAAAAAAACATGTAAAAGGGTGTGAAGTTGCAGCACTTGTATGATAGATGCTCAACAGAAAGACTTTAGGCATTTTCCAGCATAAGTTTTCTAGTGCAAGTCATTTTTAAACAACATAATATACCTTAATTACTGTCATTGCTTTTAGCACAACTACAAAATGTGCACCGAAAGAACTACAGATGCTGTAAATCAGGAACAAAAACAAAGTTGCTGGAATAGCTCAGCAGCTCTGGCAGCATCTGTGAAGGAATAAACAGAGTTAACGTTTTGGGTACGGTGACCCTTCCTCAGAACTCAGACGATAACGTTAACTCCGTTTTTTCCTTCACAGATGCTGCCAAATCTGCTGAGCTTTTTCAGCAACTTTGTTTTTGTACAAAATGTGCAGTCGCATTGCTCAGATCTTAAATAATATCAAAGATTTTGTCTCTTAATAGCATTTTTCCGCCCACTCCATTTTATCTGCTACATGATTTCATATTTAATATTTTAAATTCACCCTTTCTGGTTCAGACTGCATACCACAGTAAGGCTTCATCAAATGGACTGGTTGGGATACACAGTTGCTCTCCAAATTTGTATACGTGCCAGAGCCCTTACAGAGGGCTAGTTTTCAAAATGGCTTTCAAACCACAGCAAGTCAGCGCAAAAGCCCATTGAAGAATGATGAGCAAATATAAGCCCAAATGAACAGCATCAACCACCATCCACAAAAATAGAGCTTTTACGAAATATACTACTGGTGTCAAATCACTGCAAACTATCCTTAAATAACAAATATACAATTACCTGAAATTTGACAGAACAAATGTACTGAAATCGTAAGCAGGAACCAGCTCACTAGAAGGAAAAGAAAAATGCAATTTATAAGTGAAATTGCTGTTATCCAGTTTGCTGAGTTGACAGTAGGATGTAAAAATTTCACCTGCACTTGGTTGCATTGAGAGAAACTAAAAATAGAACTCCCACACTATTCTAACAGTCCTTTATATGTACATCAATGATCTATTCACTGTACATTTTTAAATTAATTAATGCAGGCGTGACTGGCTAGGCCAGCATTTATTGCCCATGACTAATTGCCATATCTGGTGTCACATATAGGGCAGACTGGGTAAGGATGACCGTTTCCTTCCCTAGTGAATCAGATGGGTTTTTCCAACAATTTACAACAGTTTCAAGATCACCATACAGACTCTTAATTCCAGACTTTTATGGAATTCAAATTCCATCTACCATGGCAGGATTTGAACCCATGTTTCCAGGCCATTGACTGGGTCTCTAGAATCATAGTCTAGCAATAAATACCACTAGGCCATTGCTTCCCTTTCCCTGTCAGATATTCGAGATAAATACAGAGATTGAAAAAAAATTGTGGCTCAGACATTCTGACATGAGGCAATAATATTATTAGCAATGCACTGTAAACATGCTGAAAATAATTTTTGCAAGTCCTATGATAATCAAATAAAAGAAATTATTTATAAAACAGAAATGCATTTTCACTTGTTTGAAACATTTGCTGACTAAAAGGCCAGCAAAACAATAAACTCTTCCCAATAATGGCATAGTTTAGACCCAAATGGTTAGTATAAAATCCACTTCTATCTCAAATTAAAATGGGTTGCTTGTGTGCTATCTTTCCTCCCTGTACCCTATCCCACCGAATGAAATTGATTTATGAGCATAGCTCCAAATGCAGATTTGGATTTAGACAGGGAGCACACCAACAGCAGAAATGAAATAACGTATGGCGACAGCCTTCAGAAAGTCTCAAAAGATATGGGAGCCTTTAGCCAAAGACTGCACAGTGCATGAAGGGCATCATAGGCCTAAATTAATTTTTAAACACAGCACTTGCCTTTTGAAATAGCAATTTTATTTATTAATTATCCAAGAGAAACTGTATATGTTATAAAGTGAAATGCAAAGTTTTTTGTGGTGCAGTAGTTGTGTCCCTACCTCTAGGCCAGAAGGTCTGAATTCAAGACCCACCTGCTCCAAAGGCTTGTTATGACATCTCCGAACAGGATGATTAAAAATAACCATGAAGTGAATCTAGATCTTGTGCAGATCTGCCTGCTTTTCCAAACAGGATTTGATTTGTTACTGTCACATGTACCAAGGTACCGTGAAAAGTGTTGTCTTACATGCTTAACAGGCAGATTGTACTGTACAAGTGAATCAAGGCAACAGAACGTAGTGCACAGTACAAAGTTACAGCTGCCGAGAAGGTGAAGACAGTGATCAATATTAACATTAAAGAGGTCCATTCAAAAAGTCTGATTACAGCAGGGAAGAAACACTTGCAAATGAATAATCCCAAACGTGGCTACCTGTATTCTTATGTTTCTTGAACTGAACAAGATGGGGCACTAGTCCATCCAAATCTACTAATGCCATTGAGGAATAGTAGCAGCCCTTCACTTTGCATTTGACAACAGAGATCAAAAGAGCTCAGTGTCTCACCATAATCAGTGCATCACCAGTGAGTCATTCTACAGAATTACACAATTAGTAGGGCTTGTAGAAACCAAATATACAGAGCAGACTGGAATAGCAACCTCTTAAAGGTACAGAGTAAGGTCAACTTTTTAATATTTGTTGCCATCATGGTGCTTCAAGCTCATACATTTATCTTTCTCACAAGTTCCCCACTAAATCAACAAGAAATACCGAACCCAACCATGCTATAAGCCAAGATTAAACACAAACCTTTGCGAAACTCAAACCTAACCTGCTGAAAATACACTTTAGTCAGAAGCTGTCCACCTTATGCCAGAACTGAAAACAGGCAGAATCATAGCTGAGTCAGCGTCATACGGCAGGAAAACAAACCCTTCGGTCCAACCAGTCCATGCCAAACATAAATCCAAACTAAACTAGTCCCAACTGCCTGCTCCTGGCTCATATCCCTCCAAATGAATTCTAAACATTGAAATTGTAGCTGCATCCACCACTTCCTCAGGAAGTTCATTCCACATGCAAACCACCCTCTGCGTAAAAAATTTGCCTCATGTCTTTTTTAAATCTCTTTCCTCTCACCTTAAAAATGTGTCCCTTAATCTTGAATTTCCTCATGAGGGAAAAGATAACTACCATCAACTTTATCTATACCTCTCATTATTCTACAAACTTCTATCAAGTTACCTCTCAACCTCCTACGCTCCAGTGAAAAAGGTCCCAGCCTTTCTTCATAACTCAAACCTTCCATACCCAGCAACATCCTGGTAAACGTCTTCTGAACCCTCTCCAGCTTGATCATACCCTTCCTATAACTGGGCAATCAGAACTGGACACAGTATTGCAGAAGAGCCCTCACCAATGCCCAGTACAACCTCAACATAACATTCCAACTCTTATACGCAAAGGACTGAGCAATGAAGGTAAGTGTGCATTTAAATAAAGTTGGGTGGGGGGTGGGGGAAAGAGAGAAATCAAATGATAAATAATGATTACAGAGGGAGAAGATCAAATTACCTGCAAACTGTGGGACAGAAACAAAATTACATCTGCTGTGCATTGCTAAACTCAAAAGGTGTTACACCCTGTCTTTTCATGCTCAAGCTGCCTAGTGACTGATTATGTATTGTTAGCATTTTCTGTTTGCATCAGATTTCTAGCTTCCGCGTTCTTCTCTTATAATACCTGGTGAAGTCTGGTGGGACAGGTGTTGTGACAAATGAAGCCATGGGTTTACGATGGACTTGTTGGAACATTAGCAGGATTTCTTGACTTTTCAGAATTAACTCACTTTTACTGCAGGATCGCAGCTGCAGGGAAACAAAAACATCTGCCAGACTTCATTTTAAAATTAGATTTTTAAATACCAACTTAAAATAAGAAAACTTATGAGGTTTGAGCCGCGATCTCTCTGTGGCCTCTGCCTTCTCATTTGTGTCAGAAGCTCTGTTTACTTTGCGCAACCTGTCCCTTTGGTACCTCACTCAGGTGAGCATTCTACAGGTGAAATCCAGCATGTACCAGTAAGTTAAACTATCACACTGGCAATAACAGCTGAACACAGTTCTGTCTTCATATATTTCTTAAGTTTAATAGCTGCCAAAGCCAGCTGTAGCACCACCAATACTAACACAGGTAACTCGCGCCAGGATCAGAATATCCAACATTCATAATCCATGCCATTGTTCTTTGGTATACTTAGCAGCTGGCTTTGCAAGAATTAGTTTTAGTCTCATATATTACCAAAAGGTCAATCTATCGCAAGTATTGGAAAAACCGCCAAGTTCAGTAATTATGAACCCAAGTACCCCATAATTCTTTTCTCTCCAGCCGCTTTGGTTACCTGATGTTCTACTTCCTGTAGTAGTGACTCAAGTAGCTCAGTTTCCTGAGTCAATGATGTTTTCTGACCTAGGGGGGGAGAGAGAGAGAGAGAGAGAGAGAGAGAGAGAGAGAGAGAGAGAGACAGAAATTTACAGATTTTATCAAGACATACTTTGAGAGAATTCATCCTGCAACACACATTTCCTTAAGAGAGAGCTACAATGCAATGAGGCTGATACCCCTGGTAGAGTGAGGAGGGCTCTGCTCTCAGCACAGATCATCTCTATATAGCAAAAGGAATAACACCAAGACATTTCAAACATCTAAAGGTAGTGTGTAGGGTGCCTAGATGGCAGGTAGTCACTTGGTCTAGTTGTAGGGTAATGGGTGGGTCCAAAGCTCGCCCATTGGAAGGCGCCATTCACCTCCTGGGCGTTCTGGCTGTTTTGTACACACCTCATTTGTTGCTGTAACAAGGAGATCTCCCACTTCTGGAATGCAGTTAAGCAGTTGTAGGTGTTGCACTGCACCAAGAAAACATATTTTAAAAACATTAAGTTTTGAATTATTGGTATATCTATAAAGATGTATACTGTACCCATTAAAGTTATAAGTTTATTTTTTAGATGTGTGTCCAGTCTCGCAATCATCATTTCCACAGCATTCCTAATCTCTCTGACACGTTCGTCCTTTGCACTGCGTACTGCTTCCACATTTCTTTCCTGGTTACAAAAAAAATTTCAGTACAATCATAAGCTACATTTAAAAACAAATTCGGAAAATGTTCAATAATTATCACTTACATTCTGCATTTATCTGTATAACTCCTGACTTCTCATTTTACAAGCATTTCGGAAAGTATATGAGCTTGAATGATTAATTTTGTCCTTCTCAATAACATAAAATAAATCAAACTAAGGAAATTAGTAATCATGTGCTCAACTTTAAATCAACTTTAAGTAAAAGCTACATTTTGGAAACAACCAACGATACCAGTTTCTGTACCAACTTTAATCTGACAGTGCACAGCAGTCCTAACAGTGTGCGACTAAATTAATTGGTATCTTCAAGTTTTTCTTTGGTCCTACAAGCTGTAGTTTAATTCTTAAAAGAAAAGTGAGAGAAGAGGAATCAACCCCAATATCCTTACGGATGAAAATGTGTTTCTCTTTATATAAAGAGCAGAATTAAACAAAAGCCCCATCAACTTTCTTCTCATCAGCTTTCTTTTGTTACACAGTCAAGGATTAAGGGATATGCTCCCAGATTTTCCAATACTACTCTGCAACTGGTCATTTGCAGGGATAGCTGAGGTTCTAGTTCTAAACCAGGAAAGCACTGCACTTCCACTTAGCACTGACTTCAGAAATGAGCAAATGTTGCGCACCTCAGGTCTAAGAACTCTAGTTATCATGTTTTTAGATTAAAAACTTGAAACCTCAAAAGTGCCAAAATGAAGTACACAGCCACGTATGTCTGGGTTCTGGGTTTGAGTCCAGCTGACACTGATGGCAGAAATAAACTTCTCTGCAGAAAAAGTTGTGTGTGAAATTAATTTGGCTATTCTCAGCCAATCTCATCATGCAGAGATCTAACCTTGGCTTCATGATAATAGCCTCGCCAATGGTTATAGGTCCAGCTTCACTTGAAATTTAAGGAGACAATTTACTTTGACACAGTTTTAGAATGTGGCATTAAACAAGGTCCCTGTTTTCCCCCTCAGTCATAAAAGATTCCAGGACTTTATTCAAAGAAGAGTTGACAGTTCTTATGGCATTATGGGAAACATGCAATTCTCAATCAACACACCAAACACAATTTGACTGCTTAGGCAGCTGATAACAGTTTGGAGAGACTTTGTGCACAAACTGGCTACTGGATTAGTCTACATTTCAAAAGTATATCCTTGGTCAGTCCAAGAACATGAAAGGCACTGTATAATTCCAAGTTGCTTTTCCTTTCTTTGCAGCCTTTTATTTCTGGACCCCAACTCCATGCGTCTAAAGTGGCATGCTGCATGATTATATAAAAATATTCAAACCAAATCCTAGTCCTTTATCCATATCCTTGTTCACCAAAGGTACAAAGTCTTCAAACACCAAGAGGACACCCATCTGCCTGTTCATACAAAACAAAAAATGCACTGCTTGCAAGAATTCATACTATGCTTCCCTCTTTAGTTTGATGATTTGGAGGCTTTGCCCTCAGCTTTTAGAAAATCACTGGCCCAGAGAACTACTGAAGGCTGATGCTGTATTGGGTCACAAAGGCAGCTCGCGACTGAATTATTAGCAGTCAAATACAGATTGTATTCCTGTAGTCCATATTCTGGAATTGTGTTGAAGTAAATTGTTTACTTGCATTTCAAGTGAAGTTAACCAAGCTGATTTCAAAGAGATCTGAACAAGAATGACAATTAACTTGCATTTATACACCACCTTTAAAATCCCCAGGTAATTGAAAGATGAACAAGGAAAATAGGCATTAAGGCAAGAGGAAAAGGTGCTTAGAAGAGACAACTAAAAGTTTAGTCAAAACAAGAGTCATTAAAGGATAAGTAGGAATATAAAAAGGGGCTTAGAAAAGGAATGCCAGAGAGTGAGATTTGAGTGTTTGGGAACACAATACCAACTGTGGGGTAAAAATGAGGCTGGGGTCTGTGTGTCAGGAGAGGTACAGCAGAGAGAAAGTATACAGCTACCCTACATTCAAGATGGGGAGAGATTAAAGACAAAGATTTTAAGTTACTTTCCATTACAAATCAAAATTTCCACAAGTAGTAGTGCATGGAGAAAGAAAGTAAAAATAAACATTTTACCATATAATCATGGGTGATTTTTATGAGCTTAAAAACATATAACTTAAAAACTACATACAATCTATAAGTCAGCCCAGGAACGAATATCTTGAAAAAGGACAAAAGTACTCTCATCTGAAAATAGCCAGATCAACTGGATAGAAACAAGAAAGTAAGGGACTAGGATAGACTGTTGTAGGATATATCATCAATTCTATCACGTCCCAATGTTTACATCCCTATGACCTTACCACTTCTTGCACCAAACTGATTAGTTCCATCAATCGACGACGCAGTTTTGCCACCTCATCATTAACTTTTGTAACGTGCTGTTCATAAATCTCAGCTAATGGTTTGAATGTGTGGCCCCCATGCTGCAATGAAAATGCAAAGCACTTTAGCATAAACCCATTGAATCTTATATTTTAGTGAATATATGATCTTGGTTGCAAATCAGCCAAAGGCAGAGAAAATAGGAATTTAGAGGGGATTATAAACGCAGTCGCAATGTCACTAGGCTTGCATGCTGGGCAAAAACTGAAAAACTGATAGTTGTTGCTTACTTGCCAATGGAGCACAAACATGAGAAATTGTGGCCGCTGCCCTTAATATATTACTTCAAAATGGACTAATATGTTTGGAAACACATTCTATTCATGTTGTTTCATAATTCAACTACCAAAGTGCAGAATCATATTACAAGTATATATCCAACCATTCATGGTTGACAGTCCAATAAACATGCCATTGTAGCTTCCCTCAAAAATATTTCCACAGGAAGATATTGGCATGTATGATGGGCATTCAATGCAGGTTTTTAAAAGGATATCAGATTTCTATAATTAGCAATTTATTTTTAATGATGCACAATAATAAAAAAAAAAGCTGTCTTGTATCAGTTGACATAATCCATTGAAAATTAGGGTGACAATTCTAAGGAGTTTAACAATATTTGCAGGTTTTCCCATAGACAAAAAATGTGTTTTGGGGCAGCTCACAGCTCTTTATTATTCCATACCATATTACAGGTACATTGTCCATTCTTTAAATATTTGCAAATCCAACAAATGTATCAATGAAGAGTCTCTGTTCTACATACCATTCCACCCCAAAGTGCACATTGGTGGCAGATGCACTTCTTACATGTCCAACAGAATACACTCAGCTTCTCATGGTGACTGTCACACCTGAAATACATCTTTGTTTAATTTTTAAATAAATAATTGAAGTAATTTAAATACATTATTGCATTACATTTGAAAATATCTACCTCGCTCTAATGCCACAAACCTGTAAGTTGAATTCCATTTTTAAAAACTTGCTTTTACATTAATGAAAGCTAGACTAATAGGACTGAGGTTCTCTCTCACTGTATGCAGGAGTTTCTACAAAGAAGCAGTGGGTCACCACAGTCATTCATCATCAGCACAACACCCTGCAAGTTGGGAAACCGGGAGTTTCTTGCAGAGACGCTGCAAGAATAATTCTGCTCGCACTGAATTCACATCGTTGGTAAACGGTTAACAGTACATTCGTAATCTAATTATAGATCCACAAGGTCATTACTAATATTGCTGTAGACCTTCTAACAGGACCTGATTGGATTCCAGATTTAAATAAACAAGTTCAACATTCTATTAGGCCTCCCTGTTGTTCATCTAGCGTGAAGTTTCTCAAGGTAGTCTTCAGCAGTATCAACGGATCTTACTCTGGAGGCTGAGATAACAAGGTGTACAGCTGGATGAACACAGCAGGCCAAGCAGCATCAGAGGAGCAGGAAAGCTGATGTTTCGGGCCTAGAGCTTTAGAGGCTGTTCAACCATCCAGAAGCCAAGTATTAGAACTTCAAAAACGAGATAACGAGAGTCCAGAGACAAGTATGTTCCTGCTAGGGTGAAGGTCAAGGCTAGTAAGTGTAGGAAGTACTGGATGATTAGAGATATTGAGGTTTTAGTCAAGAAAAAGAAGGAAGTGTATGCCAGGTATAGACAGCAAGGAATGAGTGAATCCCTAGAAGAGTAGAAAGGCAGCAGGAGTTTACTTAAGAGGGAACTCAGTAGGGCAAAAATTGGACATGAGATAGCTTTGGCAAATAGGGTTAAGTAGAAGCCAAAGGCTGCCTACATGTGGAACTGCAGGAGATGGGGGAGATGCTAAACAAGTATTTTACATCAGTGTTGAAGAGGGAGGGGCGATTTGGAGAAATAAGTAGCAAGATATTGAAAAACATCCATATTGCACAGGTGGTGGTACTGGATGTCTTAAAACACAAAAGGTGGATAAATCTCTGGGGATCTGATCAGGTGTACCCTAGAACTCTGTGGGAAGCGATTCCTGGGCCCCTTGCTGAGACATTTATATCATCAGTAGCCACAGGTGAGGTGCTGGAAGACTGGAGGTTGGCTAACGTAGTGCCACTATTTTAGAAATGTGGTAAGGAAAAGCCAGGGAACTATAGACCAGCGAGCCTGACATCGCTGGTGGGTAAGCTGTTGGAGGGGATTCTAAGATACAGGATTTACAATATTTGGAAAGGCAAGGACTGATTAGGGATAGTCAACATGGCTTTGTGCATGGGAAATCATGTCTCACTAACTTGATTGAGTTTTTTGAAGAAGTAACAAAGAGGATTGATGAAGGCACAGCGGTGGACGTCATCTATGTGGACTTCAGTAAGACGTTGGACAAGATTCCTCAGGGTAGACTGGTTAGCAAGGTTAGAGCACATGGAATACAGGAAGAACTAGCCCTTTGGTTACAGAATTAGCTCGAAGGTAGAAGACAGAGGGTGGTGATGGAGGGTTGCTTTTCAGACTGGAGGCCTGTGACCAGTGCTGTGCCATATGCTGGGTCCACTGCTTTTTGTCATGATGTGGATGTGAACGTAGAAGGTATGGTTAGTAAGTTTGCAGATGACACCAAAATTGGAGGTGTAGTGGACACTAAAGGTGGTTACTTCAGAGTACAACAGGACCTTGATCAGATGAGCCAATAGGCCAAGGCATGGCAGATGGAGTTTAATTTAGATAAATGTGAGGTGCTGCATTTTGGAAAGGCAGACCAGGGCAGGACTTATACGCTTAATGGGAAGGTTCTGTGGAGTGTTGCTGAACAAAGAAACCTTGGACTGCAGGTTCATGGTTCCTTGAAAGTGGAGTCACAGGTAGACAGGATAGTGAAGATGATGTTTGGTGTGCTTGCTTTTATTGGTCAGTGCATTAAGTATAGGAGTGGGGAGGTAATGTTGCAGTAACGTTGCAGTCACGCAGGACATTGGTTAGGCCATTTTTGGAATACTGCATTCAATTCAGGTCTCCCTGCCATAAGAAGGATGTTGTGAAACTTGAAAGGGAAAAGATTTGCAAGGATGTTGCCAAGGTTGGAGGGTTTGAGCTATAGGGAGGTGCTGAATAGGCTGGGTCTACTTTCCCTGGAGCATTGGATGCTGGAGGGGTGACCTTACAGAGGTTTATAAAATCATGGGGGCATGGATAGGGTGAATAGACACGGTCTTTCCCTCGGGCTGGGGGAGTGCAAAACTAGAGGACATAGGTTTAAGGTGAAGGGGGAAAGATTTAAAAGGGACCTAAGGGGCAACCTTTTCATGCAGTGGGTATTGAGTGTATGGAAGAGTTGCCAGAGGATGTGGTGGAGGCAGGTACAATTACAACATTTAAAAGGCATCTGGCTAGGTAAATGAATAGGAAGGGTTGAGAGGGATATGGGCCAAAAACTGGCAAATTGGAATAGATTCATTTAGGATATCTGGTCGGCATGGACGAGTTGGACCAAAAGGGTCTGTTTTCATGCTGTACAGCTCCATGACTATTTAAATTGGGGATGATCATTATTGGCTGCATGGCAAACAGTCATGAATTGGAGTGCAACTGCAAGTGAATACTTGTCTGCTCATATCAAGAGCAAAAATAAGTTCCAGGAATAGCTGAAAGTTTGAAGTTAAAAAAAACTGGATATTTAAGTTTAGTACTTGCACCAATATTACAAATCTTTATGTAGTAATAACATACTGACTTGTCTTTGTCATTCTCCTCATGCTTACTGAGATTACATAGTTGAAGTGTGTCCAGTTGTTGTGTGACTTCCTCTGCCCAGCGACAGTTCACAAGCTCTCGTAACTGAAGCGGTGCCCTACAACAAGTCAAATATTGAAACTTCAGCTCCACTAATATTTAAACAAAGATTTCCAGCATCTGTAGTATTTTGAATCTTATACTCATCCGGGTAACATAAACATTTTGATATATTTTTCATTTGGACAATGTTTTTAAACAGGAGTCAGGCTGTTCCCTTTCATGTCAGCACAACATATTCCCAGAACAGGTTGTGTGTGACTAGATGGAACTCTCATCCACTGAGATTCAAAAGATTCAGAATCATTTAACATGGTACCTCAACAGTTATGGGTTTATTTAATTTGCCTAAGCAAGATTAAAATTTAAAAAGGTCATTATTAAAAGCAATGATTTGAAAGTGATAGATTTAATTAGAGATGAAAATAAATGGTTTATCATTGCACACCAGAGATGTTAATTCTCTGTTAACACTCACGAATCTTTTCACTTGCCCAGACAAATCTATATTATATCTGTAGGCTGCTTGGAGTAATAAATAATGAAGTTTAAAGAAAAATTTCTTCAGGTACTGTTTATATCCTGTACCTACACAGGATCCTGTCTTTGAAAGCTAGCACTTACTTCAGGCTTTAATTGCTAAGATGTTCAAACAATAACAGAATAAGTAAATAACAACTAGAACGTTTCCAGTAATGGTCACACATCTCAAACAATGTATAATAATAAATGGTTCACAAGTCTAGGACTAAAATTGTGACTCTGTTGATAATGAAGTTTTTTTTTTAAAATTCCCTTTTCCTCACTAATTAAAGACATGAGTTCATATTCATGCTCTATTCTGAGGTTTCTGTCCAAAAAAAATCAAGTGCTTCTTTGAAGGTTCCAGATCAAGCTCATTCATTTGAAAAGTGTGACTTAATAAATCAGACAAAACATTCATATCTGTATTTAGTGACTTGATTTTTTTCCTGTAGAAACTCTCCGCTAACTAAAAAATGATTCTAATATTGTCACAAACAAAAACAGAAATTCCTGGGAAAACCCTTTCTGTGGAAGGGTCACTGGATCTGAAACATTAACTTTGCTTTCTTTCCACAGATGCTGCCAGACCTGCTGAGTTTTTTCCAGCAATTTCTACTTCGGTTTCTGTTACCAGCATTCGCAGTTCTTTTGGTTTTAATTCTAATATTGTGTCAAATTAATTTGGGACACAATGGGAAAGTGAAGCTGATTAAAGACAGAAATAAAGGAGGAAATACACAGGTAAATAATAAATATATATCCTATTTGCTGTACCACAATTAAAATATCCATGTCTTGAAACTGTTCAAAACAGTTAATGTCAGCTTTAAATGCACAACAGTTTTAACAGGTATTTTTAAATTTAAAAGAAACATTTGAAGTAAATCTTGAAACTAGGAATATTGCTGTTACAATGTATGGTGGAGGTAAAAGGAAAAAACAAAATTTGTAATTCCAAATAACATAGATCAATGTTAACCTATTAATGTTATCAACCATTGTTCCTTATGTCTGCGAATTTTCTTTTCCACGTTATTCAGACCTACTGATTAGGACTGGAATTAGACAGATTCACATGAGGCAACTATTTTTTAAAATTGCAATTTGGTGAAAAATCAAAATAATTTCCAGATTTGCACAAACCCTGATCAAGACTTGCTATTAGGTGTGCCCTTACCTGCAATGTGGGCACTGGGCTCTCTGCTCTGTTAACCAGCGCTGTGGAGACAAGAAGTTTTTTTTAAAAAAATACAATAGTGCTTAAATTCCGTCACTTAAAAGCATGAAAGCACATCATTTGACTATTTCCAGGTCTCCACTTTACGTTTCAAGAAATCCCCAGATAATGTGTAATTAAACAATTGGAATCCAATGATGCAGGACCTCAACATGTTGAGACATGAGACTCCAAAATTGGGCAGGTTGATGAATTTAAAAAGGAGAACAAAATGACATCTAATAAGCTTCCTAGTACAGTTTGAAGCAATCATTAAAAAATTTTTCTTTTAAAAATTGCACTTTTACACATGCAACGTTCAAAATGCTCTTAACAGCAAGCAAGCAAATAAAGGCAGTGCAAGCACTACCATACACAACAGCAAATGTAACTGTTCTGCTGAGCATGGATTACAGCATCACAACTCGGCACAAACAGACTATTTAAAAACACAAAATCAGCTGAAGTCTTCACATCAGCCAGTCCTCCTAAAAAGAAAAAGAAAGAGTTTGTTCAGATCAGATACAGATCTTTCCAGCACATTCCCATCCTCTTAGAATTATAACAATTGTTCCAAACCGCATTATGGTACTGTCACGTTGAACTACAGAAAATGCACATAGAATGTCAACAGCCCAGTTACATTGGAAGATTTCCAGCACCATTTAGAACAGCAGCTGCTTTTCATTCAGTAAATTAAATTCTTCTTTTCCCAATAACAGCTCTCTAACCTTTCACTGCATAGGTCAAGACTCGAAAACTCCACTGCATGTTAAAACAGGTTATATGGCTGCACACATCATGGCAATGAAACTCGGAAACTGACTGGATTAAAAGCAGTGATCTAGAAACTACAACTGCATACAGCCAATGGGGTCAAGATGAAGCTTCCTCTGCAAATCATCTTTCTCACTCTCAATTCAAGTTTTCTTCCAGACTATCTGGGCTCCTGCAACACAGGCAACTGACAAGTACAGCAGGCAGGTGGTTTTATCTGACAAAAGAATGCAGGCTGATCACTTGGAATTGTCAAACTGTTCTACAGAACACCTCTCGAGCTTTCAATTTCTGGAAGACATTTTCCCCAGGAAATTATACAAACATAGGCTGCTTAAAAAGGTGTGCACTGTGAAATGCAGTATTTGCAGATCAAAGCAGTGTGTCCAGCTGGGCCAGGCGTAATGGAGCAGCTAGTCATTTCCCTCCTTTATTGCATGAAGTTGACAGCAATATCCAAATTCGAAATACAATAGGAACTTACCCTTATGCAACTGAAGCAACAAAGCTTTGAACAATGTGGACAGAGCCGGGCATCACGCAACTTCTCCATACAAATAAAGCACCTGAACACCTCTGCAATACTCTGGGAAAACATAATATGGGAAAAGTATTACTTAATTGTATACTGTGTGGCCTAAAAAACATGCATTTGTGACTTCACAGATCAAAACCCTCTGCCTGCAGTAACCTTTTCTAAAGTTCCTTGTCAGAGTTTTTGGTGCATCAAAGCAGCATGTTTGGAAGAAGGTTCATAGCAACTGTGTGTTAATTTTGCAGCAATAAAACAGAGCTGGACAGGAGAAATTGATTTATCGTCACGTGTACCGATATACAGGGAAAAAGCTTTGTTTACAAGCAGTACAGGGAGATCACAGCGAGCAAAGGATGTACAGATCAAAAAGACTTAGAGGCAAACAGGTTACATTGCAAGGCCAGCGTCCATTCAACAGTCTGAAAACGGCAGGAAAGAAGCTGTTGTTTAACCTGCTCATGGGTGTTCAGGCATTTGGATCTTCTGCCTGACGGAAAAGGTTGTAGGAGGTCATTACCAGGGTCAAATGGGTCTTTGATGACGTTGGCCGCCTTTCCATGGCAGCGAGCCGTGTAAATAGGGTCTATGGATGGAAGGTTGGCTTCTGTGATGGTGTGGGCTGTGCACACCACCATCTGTAGTTTCTTATGGACCTGGGCAGAGCAGTTGCCAAAACAGGCCATTGTGGGCCCAGACAGTATGCTTTCAATGGTGCATCTGTAGGTGAAGGACCATATGGGCATGTCGAATTTGCTGAGCCACCCAAGGAAAGAGAGGCATTGTTGTGCTTTCTTCACTGTCGCATTTATGCGAGAAGTCCAAGACAGGTCGGGTGTTATCGTCACTCTGAGGAACTCGATGCTCTTCATTCTCTCAACCTCAGTTCCATTGGTGTAGATGGAGGCGTTTTCTCCTCCTTTCTTTCTGAAGTCAACGATCAGTTCTTTAGTTTTGCCAATGTTGACAGACAGATTATTTTCATTGCACCACATCACCAAGTCCTCTATCTCCCTTCTGTATTTTGACTCATTGCTGTTAGATGTCCATCCGACTAGTGATGTCGTCAATTGTTAGTGAAAAATTAAGGGAATGAAATTAAATAGATTTGTAAACTGTAACTTTCCACTAGACAATTTAAACTTCAAAGCACACAGACTTATTCCACGGCTCTTCAAACTCCACGCAATCAAACTCAAACTTTTTTTTTGAATGAGGTTGTGTCCCATCACTGAAATGCTCAAAATTTCTTCAACCTGTTGCACTAGAAAGGGACTAGCATTAAGTCATTTAAACAAATAATCAACAGCGAATTTCTGCAAACACAGCAGAACGGTTTAAATGGCTGAATGACGTGCAACTTCTGCCTACCCGGTTCAAAACTGCCATGCTCAGCAGCATTATCCACATTACACCATACTCTAAGCTGCTTGTCTAATTCAGGCCTTTTAATGTAACTACTCTTCCTGGCACAGGACATCCAGGATAAAGCTCCAATGTAATCTGACACACGTTATCTTCACTACATGTTGACACTATGAAGGATTATGAAAAACTTGAAGAAAACAAATACGCAAATCAAATTTAAAGTTTTTGCAAAGATCTGTAGCTCGGGTTGTGGGTGAGGTTGTTGACTTGCTCGCCAAGCAAGTCAACAACCTAACGCAATTCAAATGGCTTTAAATACCAATCTATGGCTGCAATCAGCAGACAAGTACCAAAGGTATATGAATACTTAGTTTTCTTTAAACAATCAATCAATTCAGATACAACATGAACTGTATTATTTCAATGCCACTTTTTACTTCCCAAACTGACCTTTATGGTTTTAGTAAGCTTTACTAACACTTGACAATGCAAGTCAGAATCCAGATTTGCAAAGTTCTGATACAATGTATTTTTCCTTACAACACTAACAAGATTTGAGTAGTGTTAAGAAAAATGCTGTCAAAGGATTTTGCCTTGCACTGATCAGGACACAGTCCAAGAACATCAAATCTGAAAGCAAACAACAATTTGTGCTACACAAGGAGAGGTGTTGATCTGTTCAAAAGCAGACCCTGATTGGGAGAGGTTTCTCAGAAAGTTAACTTCCAGTCTTTAAATTTAAAGCAAGCAAATCTAGTTAATCAGGGAATTACTATTGGGAATACATCAGGAAATGCAAGCCAAAAAAATTTCTGCCTACTTAAAAATGAGGAATGAGGCATATGAATTTCAGTGCCAGAATAATGCTAGGTATGTAGGTTATATATCACAACAACTGGCAGGTCAAATAGGATGCCCCTTTGGCTCAACAAATAGAGCTCTGACCATACCAACCAGCCTGAGCTTACAAAACTTAAAGCTTATAAAACATTAGATGTGATTCCATGATTTGACAACACTTGCTTAACAATGCCAGTTGTGCTAAGAATTCCACTAACAACCAAGTTGAGACTAATCGGGCTTGCAGTACGGCTCATTTGTGTGTGCTGGAAGCCGCATATTCACACTCAGACTGTGCCCTTGATAAACAGAATGTGGTACACATTGTGCCGTTTTCAAGTGGACAAAAGCTTGGAAGAGAGCTATTCCCTGGTGTGTTCCCTATGGCAATGTCAAGACCAGAGCTGTCCTGCCTTGTTTGAGTTCAAACATAAGCTTGGGTGTTAAATGTCCCTTGGTGCATTTTCCACAGCAATGTCTGTAAATATCAGCATGGTCTTTCCACGCAGTGTTGAAGGTTGTTCCATTTGATATGTGGTATTCTGCGATTGTGTCCTGATAATTGCAAGATGCAGAACTTTGGCAGCATCGCTTGCTCTTTATTAAACAGAAACAGTTTGTATTACTATGATACATCAATTTCAGGTCAGAGTTCAGCTCAGGTAATCAGATATGAAGAAACCTCTTCAACTTACCCTTCATAATGTGATTTTCTCCTATTCGGGCTCTTGCATTTATAAAAGAGAAAACTTGCGTACCTGACAAGACTTCAAACTTTCTGATTCATTTTTAAGACTTCCAAGTTTTATAGAAGCATACTATTACTGTTCATTGACATATAGACTGTCTTATTTCATACAGAGTCTGCATCTGAAAAACTGTGATTTCAAGGAGGTATAAGGGCCAGTGATCAAAAATATTACAGCAGATTGTTCCTTTTTTGTCTAAAATTCTGATACACCAGGACCAACTAGAATAGCTCAACAGCTGTACCCAGTGGTGTCAGTTAACCATGAACAAAGTTTGGGGAAAAATATAAGCATTACTGCTGAACCCTCTTGGGTGCAGTGGTAGTGAACGGGGCTAAAAAAAAACTTTGTAAGGCATCTCTGGGCAGGTTGATTAGAAGAAAAAAAAACCCCCCAAAAAAGCTAAAGACCTGCAGATGCTGCAAATTAGAAACAAAATCAGAATTGCTGGAGAAACTCAGCAGGTCTGGCAGCATCTGTGGAGAGAAAGCAGAGTTAACGTTTTGGGTCCAGTGATGCTTCTGCTTTTTCTCCACAGACGCTGCCAGACCTATTGAGTTTTTTCAGCAATTTCTGATTTTGTTTCAGTTAACTATGAACTGATCAGAATTTGAATCTATGATCTGACCTGTGTGACTTACTGCCACACCACATGGTGCTAAATTATGGGCAATGCTTCCAATCAATGAACTTTCAAATCAATAAATATAGCATCAAGGAGTATCATTGTCGGGCACAGCCTAGATATTTTCAATTTTTAGTAACTTGCAGTCAAAGAACTGAAATCAGAGGAGGTCAAGACATCAGTTTTCTTCAATATGAGTGCATTTAGCTGATCACAAAATGGCAATGTAACTGTCCCAACTGTTAAAAAAAAAACCCAGTACAGTTCATTCTGCTGATTGAAAAGATGAACGATAAGAGCCGTAGGCACAAAAGAAACAGAAAATTTGCAATATTTAATTAGCACTTTTAATGCAATAAAATGTTCCAAGGTGCTTCAGAACCTCTATAAAGAAAAATTTCACAAATGGCAACATTCTAGAAGGTGGCTAACAGTTTGGTTAAAAAAGATAGGTAAAAAAAGGTGTAGAAAAGGGACGTCTTAAAGGAGAAGAGTAGAAGGGTTAAAGAGAGTTTCAAGAATGGTACTATGGAGCCGAGGGTTTTGGCAGTTAAAGAGTATGACCATCAATGGTAAACTGATTAAAGTTAACAACGCACAAAGACTAGAATGAAAACAGAGTAGGTATCTCAGAGGGTTGTGGTGGAATAGGAGATTACATAGATAGAGAGAGGTGAGACCATGAAGGGACTTTCAAAATAAAAAGGAGGATTTTCAAAGCAAACCACCATTTAACTGAAAACTAGTGTAGTTCAGTATGTACAACGTTGATGAATGAAGTGAACAATGCACTTAAAAGGCACAAACAGAAGTCTTGGAAGGCCTCAAGTTTATACAATGCATACAACTGGAGGTCTGCCAGAAGGTCAGAATAGTAAAAGCTTGGAAGTGACAAAGGCAAGGATGAGGATTCCTTCAGCAGATGAGGAGAGCTTGCTGATATTACAGAGGGGTAGAAAAAAAAAGGCAGCCTGAGAGATCTCAGTTTAAAGCAGCAGCTTAGTAGCCATATTACCCAGTCACTTTAGTCACATATAGGAATTACAAAACGTGTTCCTTACTTCAACACTTTGCTCATCCATTTTCACTCTGTGCAGAGTTCGACAGACCTTGTAGGTATATCCAGGGACCAACGAAAAATCAATCTGCTAGTGCTGCACAACTGAAAAAGGACAAAGTCAGTTCTCCAGAGATTCGAGGACAAACATAATTTCAAACAATGCGATTCCACTTCCTGTTGGTCAAAAGTGTCAGTTTTAATTATTTATAGGTTACATGCTTAGTCCTTGACTGGAAAAGCAGTTTTCTTTATAGTGGGCCAAGCTACATCCTTCCTCAGCTATAGGCTGAAACCATTTCTAGACAGCACAGAAAGAGGTTGAGCCAAAGGAATGAGGAAACAAATTGTCTGATACTTAAACCTTTGAGTTTATTTTTAAAAGAAAATTATGCAGTAACTCCTCTGTAGTTTTATCGCAAGATTACATTTTAGTAAGCCTCCCACACCTGGAAGTCAAAATAGTCCACATTCTCTTTAGAGTATACTGCCATGGGTAGCTACAGCAATGGATTCTCCTACAAATTTGTGACCAATCACATAGCTATTGCAAATGTCCACCATTAAGTTCTGCATTTTAAGTAATTACCACAAATACAATACTCTCTTTGATTACTCTTGAGCTACATACTAAATACTGTACTGTGAACTTATAACCTCTTGACAACAGAAAGCATTTGCTCCAGAGAACAATCCAAAATACTAATGATTTTTAAAAAACTATAATTGACACTGGAATAATAAAAGGACACATCATGAATTTCAATGAAGGCTACTTTTTATTGAAATGCAAAATGCTTACAATGAAATTATCCATGAATTCTCACAGAGTGGGGAAGGGAGGGACTAAATTTCTCTCATTGATTAAGACAGTACTGCACAGCTGAAAAAAGCTGAGAGACACATCAGCTTTTTAAAAACAAAATGACCTTTACTCAAATTATGCGCAGGTTTGGCATTTCCTCAGTGGTGCCACTCACTGCAGTATTACAAGGTGAGAAGGCTACAGTGTCAAAAGTAGAGTTGTCATCCTGTGAGACCTACATTACCTTGCACTTATCATTTTAAAATTGTGGTAACTTAAACAGCAATTCTGTTGTTGCCAGATGGAAAAAGAAAATGATAGCAGCTCAAAAAGGTGTTTTGTTTAGAGTATACAAAACAAGTCCTTTTATCTCCTTTATTCATTTCCAGGATGAGGGCATCACTGACTAGGCAGCATTTATTGCCCATCCCCAATTGCCCAGAGGGCAGTTAAAAATCAACCACATTGCTGTGGGCCTGGTGTTACATGTAGGCCAGACCAGGTAAGGATGGCAGTTTTCTTCCTTGAAGGATATTAGTGAACCAGATGGGTTTTTCTGACAATTGACAGTGGATTCATGGCCATCATTAGACTCTTAATTCCAAATTGTTTTCTAAAATTGAATTCAAATTCAACCATCTGCCATGGCAGGATTTTAACCTGGGTTCCCAAAACATTATTTGGGTCTCTGGATTAATAGTCCAGTGATAATACCATTAGGCCACTGCTTCACCCCAATCTGGAAGTGAATAATGGGCCTTGTGCATAAAGACACAATGTACAAACTTCTAGATAACAGGGGGATAAAAAAAGTATCCAACATCACCCTGATCCTAATGGCCACGTTCTCATACAGCTGCATCTAGTTGAGCATTGAACATCAGCATGCAAACATCTGATGTCCCTACATGTGGAGGTTCTACCCCTCCCCAGTATTGCAAAAGATGGGACTGGCCATTTTGCCACAATACACTCCAAGAACTTGGAACACACCATTTTATCTATCCATCATGAATAGGTCTATGCAGAAAATCACCTCTGACCAGAAGTCTATCAGACAGTGGTCATCACACAACATACTCGAGGCCTTGGCAATACAACAGGATTTGGTAGGTCCTGTTGGATGGTTCCCTGAATGGATTGTCAAAGTAACTTGGCAGAATGCCTCATTGCCAGAACTTTCAAACAAGTATCAAGATGTAGCTTGATTGAAGGTGAGAAAGGCCCTTCCTGTCAAGTCCTTCCACAAAACTGAAGTATCAGCCCCTCTGCGCCTGGAATAAGGTTCTCTCAAAGTAAATGTAGTGTGGAACAGACTGTTCTCAACCTCCATGTGGAATGTGCCTGCGCAAAGAAGATCTAGAGAGAGGTGCAGTAGTTTTGGATGAAGTTCATCCTGAGCAGCTCCATGATGCACGATTCTGCTGTATGTCCTGTTCCCTGGAATGCACAGGCAAACATCATCTGGAAGATCATCAACTCAGTGAAAGATGCTCTTTGGTCTGCTCAAAACTTGTTGGTATTCCAGAGCACAGAGTTGTGTTTGACTGAGTGTCAATTACAAAACTCCAGACTATGTGCGAAGGGGTGCAAGAAGGTTCGAGGCAGTCACTGTACAGACACAATGGGGAAAAAGCTCACTTCCTAACGCCTCTCAGCTGTAGTGCACCAGGGACAGGCAGTGTAATACCCCTCTCAGTACCTAACTAAGAAGGTACCGGGTACAGGGTAAATCAGGAGTATCAAAAGGGTATTACGAACCTCAGACTGAAACATGTTGTATGGACAACTTTACATCACCTACACTTGCTATGGGTTTGTCATTTGACATGTTGTGCCCTTAGGCTGCATACTTGTACTTACTGAATATGAAGACTGTTACAATCATACATGCTGGATTTGCTTGCAAATCCTGTAATATTCAAATTGAAGTCTGAAGTTCTCCAGCAAGAATGACAGAACTAAATCCACGTGTTTCACGTTTAGTGGCAACCTTAATTGGAGAATTCCCTGGCTAACACTTTTTTTCTTCTTTGAGGCTCTTGTTCGAAATTGTTGCCACCCATTGGCTTGTGTTTCACTAAGAATCAAAACAACAATGAAGTCCTACTCTATAAAAGTGAGAGCAATTAAATTGAATCTGCTTAGCAATTGAAGAAAGGATTGCCTGCATCCAATAGTTACAGGTCATCAACTCTTTTAAAAAGTTGCCAGAAATTTGTAAGAGAAATCACACTGTCGTCTTGTGGGGGTACTTGCACGTCTTCATCATTCTAAATGACACGTACAAGAGGGTCACAACTTGACACTTTCACATTTCTCTGACCATGTTACTTTAAAACTATACAAGAGCCATTCTCACAAAATATGTACAGTGTCAATTGTACAATGCACAGCACAACTATGCAAAATTATGATTCTATTTGGTGGTTTAGTTTGCATCCAAAGTACATCTGCATTGCATAACTATGAAATGGGAGCAATAAATTTCAGGGCTTGGGAAAGACCAGCAAAATAAGTCTGGGTAGGACACCATAACACCAAACAAATAGGAACAGGAGTAGGCTGTTCGGTCCTTCGAGCCTGCTCTGCCATTTAACAGGATCACACTGATTCGACATTCCTAATGTCCATTTTTCTGCCCTTTCCCCATAACCCTTGATTCTGAACTTCTGAAATCAATCCCAGCTTTAAATCTATGCAAATATACAGAGATCGATTCCCATAGCTCTCTGTGGCAAGAAGTTCCAAAGAGACAAACCTCAAAGAAGAAATTCCTCCTCACCTCAGTCTTAAATTGGCACACCTTTATTCTGAGACAATGCCCGCTTATCTTAGACTCTCTCATGAGGGGAAACATCCTCTCAGCATTTACCCTGTCAAGTCCTTTAAGAATCCTACATGTTTCAACGAAATCACCTCACATTCTTCTAAACTCCAGTGGAGTAGAGTTCCAACCTGTTTAGCCTTTGCTCATAAGACAATCCATAGTGAATCTTCTCTGAACTGCCTCCAATGAAATTATATCTTTCCTTAAATAAGGAGACCAGAATCACTCACAGTACTCAAGATGTGGTCTCATCAGTACCTAGTATAGTCGCAGGAACACTTGCACAAGTCTTGGTCAGGGATAACACTATAATTAACTACACATCAACAGACAAAGCTCTCACAGACCAATCAGATTGCTGGAAACAAATTGTTTGTGCCAGACAACAAAGTGATCCATACTTCCTGGACAGAAGAGTTGGCTCAGATTCCCCTACACCAGAAACTGCTGATCTTGGCATGCATACACACGTAGTAGAGTCCAGGTACTACCCCATATGGAATGGGCAATACTAGATGTACAGTCAACTCAGGTCACCATGGCCACTTCACAGAGCACTATGAAAAGCATTCACCTTTCAGTTCAACCTTGGTGCAAGAAACAGAGCAACTTCTACAGGAAAATGTAGAAAAGGAAATTAATTTCATTTTTAAAAATTGGCAGAAATGATTTAAAAGTGTATGGCAACGAACTGAAGTTTATAATGACAATATTAGATTCTGGGTGCTAGTCATCTATACTAGACATTAAATGTTACTGAACTGATTGAGAAGCAAATAATGTAAATTCCTAAATTACATTCAGCACCTTCAGCTGAAATCGGAGAAGTGGTGTCGTCACGGTTAAAGCTTTTTTTGTTTTTGGTTTTATTCAAGAAACAACTATACAAAACTGCAAAGTTCACAATTACTTGCAATGGAGTAGTTTAATTTGGGTTTTTGGCCAATGAGCACCACACTTTAGAAAAGATGATACTAATACTGACTAAAATAGTATGAGGGAACTGGAAACTTCAGTTACATAGAGAGATTAGGGAGGCTGGGATTCTTCTTAGCAGAAATGTTTAGGAAAGTTTTAAATGTTCAGAAGGAGTCATTATAAATAAATTAAACTAGCCCCTAATGAATAAGGCGATAATCAAAGAATATAGATTTAAGATAACTAGCAAAAGAATACAGAGATTTATTTTTAAATGCAGCAAGTTTCTTTTTATTAATTCGTCACACATGGTTGCCTGTTGCTCATTCCTAACTTTCCTCAATAACGTGATGCTGGGATAATATCCTCAACCACTGCAGTTGTTGCAGTATATATCTATTTCAAAACTAACTGTTCAGGAATGTTTTGACAACTCCTGCACAGATCGAACTTGAACCCAGACCTTCCAGCTCAGAGGTAGGGACATTACGAGTGTGCCACCAGACCCCTTGTTGCAGTCTACACACCCAATACACCCACACAGTAATTAGA